GCACCGGTGGAGTGATAGGTGTCAGCTTGTTCCCTGCCGTGAGAACACCAGGTATGGCATTCGTGTTGGCTTGAGATGATTGTGCTATGCAGTGAGAGCGATGCTCACTGATAGCAGCGACCGATTCACGTTTTAGCTGTGCTTGGGTCGGAATGGCAACTGTCCATCGAATTTGATAGTGATCCGATGAGGAGAGGTTAATGATAACTCTCGCAAGTTGTCGTGAGACCGGAGTCACCCATGAGGGAAGGTCACAGCTGAGTAGATGGTCATCAGCAAGGCGGCAGAGATCGGCTGATACTGCTTCGAAGACCGAAGTCAATGAAGTCGTTACAACAACCACCGGGGATACTGAGACGCCATCTGATTGATCAGAGCTCGCGTGTTCGCTTCCAGCGGGCAAGCTTGAGGACCCCGAGCCTGTAGCCGATTCCGACGCCGGGGCCGTTGCAGGGCCGGGTACGGACATTGCTTTCACAGGTGTAAGGGCATCAGAGGTGTTTCTCAGAATGATCTGAACGTCGACGGTAGAACCAGCTTCAATGTCCTGGAAGCACTTGGACAGCAGTCTCTCGTTCTTGGATATGGATTCTCGGCATGCAGCCCCCATGTTGTTAAGGAAGTGCTGGTCGAAGGCTTCCGGAGGACTAGAACTCGATGCAGAACCGGACATAAGGATTCAATAGTTAGTGGAGATTGAGTGCAGACAGATCAGATAGATCCACGGGATCCGAACAATGATTTGAACGGACAATATCTGAAACGGTCGGGCGAGAGCGAGCCTTACGCTACAGGCAGCGCACGCCATAAGACTGAATGGCTATAGACTCTTATCAGACCGCGTAACTGCCGAGTCGGCAGTGCCGACGCGGAGTTCAACTTCCGCAGACCGCACTGCGGTCACCGCAATTATGCCAGTTATATATTTATAACGTGGAGTCCGCGTCGTGGACATGATCGGGCTGGACACTGATGGTGATATGCTGCTCCACGAGATGGTTAAAACGGCAGGATGTAATCCGCTGCGAACTATACACTGTGGAGGTTCTTCAAACTAGGTATTTCGAGACCATCATGTTGCGGGGACAGTTTGGTCGCGTTTGCAGGAAATGGAGGTGGAAAAAATACCACCCTTTCTTGCGTATCCATTATTCAGATACAGAAAACAGTGAGAGAAGCAATGCACTACCTCATTTGCAACTCACCAGAGAGGAGCGCGAGCTGCTGAATCTTGGCCTTATGCCAAGGCTTGTGAGACGTAAGTGGCTGGCAGCTACAAAGGCTGGGCTACTAGTTCATAATATCGACTTGATGTTATGTACTTTCTAGGTCCCGAAACACAGGACACCGACAGGAATCGAACGGAGGGGTCCATCTCAACAAACACCAAGGGAAAGCAGGCAGAGAAGTCCACCTCGACAAACATCCAGAGAAAGCAGGCAGACAAGTCTACAAAAACCAAGAGAAAGCAAGGGGACAAGCATTCTTGACTGAAGAAAGTACGAAGGCGACAAGGATTGAAACGAACGAGAGCATCGCTTGACAGTAATATTAGCGTGGGTGATATCATTCAGTGGGCGAACTTCCGGCTGTAATCTACATATCTGTCCTCATTTCTGTCTCAATTTTGTGAACGTGATGAAGAAATTTCCATACCCAGTTGGGCTGCCCAACTTGGGCAAGGCGGGCAAATATTTTCAAAATGCCAATCATCAGTCACAACT